GACTACTGCTACTCAGTATAATAGTATAAATATATTAATATAACCAGTAAAAATATTATATAGGATGATGGAAGTCGATTATTTAATCTCACTAATTAAATGAAATACGCCGGTGTGGAGATTAGTTCATAATAGATATCTTTCGTATACTATGCGCTATGCGGGGGATGGGGGGATGGGTACAGTTTACCAGCTACATGATTCAATCAAGTAAGCACAGAAGCGAACTAATTACTCAAGACGAGCGATAGCGTGAGCAAGAAACTGAGAATACAATCAAGAAGGAGACCGAAGGCCAGGACATACGGGCGATATCACGCAATCTGGGATGTGACATGACATACATATTCCGCGTAAAATTTTAATGACGTACACGTACCTTTCACATAATTCATTAAAATAATAACGTTCTATAACGCAAGTGGTTTTGTAACCTGCTGTTGCGTGAGTAGTAACGGCGCTTAGTTACACGCGCACGCACGCACGCACGCACGCACGCACGCACACACACACACGCGCACACCGACCGAGAACACCCACCTGAATGCCTCCCTATCTCCTGTCAGCTAGTATTTCAAATATGCCCGGCTATATTACAAGCGTAATGAAATTCGCAACGATTATTAATAGCGTGGAAGCCAAGCAAGAACATAAAGAATTGCATGTTTTCGTACATAATACGACGAGGTAATACTAAAGGTCAACAGCTTCGTCACGATGATAATGAATACCGCTTGCTTTCCTCGGGTAACAAACGCCAGCTCTACGTAACTGCCGGCTCTGCGTTATTCAGCCGCGCCACGCGTGAGGGTTCAAGCAGAGGCATTTTACACATCGTCGAAAATCTACGGCAGCTGACCGTTGCACTGCCAGTATTCCATACCTATCATTAGGACAACTTTATTATACGTAAGGGTACCGTTGACAGAAAGATGGCTGACGTTAGTCCTGTTGCAAACGTCACACGCTAAACTGTTGACAGAAACTTCGTAACGTTATCGTGACCATTATACTAATACTATTACTTATAGTTTGTTTGCCAAGTTTCGTAATAGCCCTAGAGTTTGTCCTGACTTTACTGACGTATTGATAACGCCCCCCAAAAACCAACTGAAGACTTACAAACGAATACCATATAATTCCGGTAACTATCCAAATACACCGGGTACAGTCGCACGCATGCGCATAACACGGCGAAGCTACACCATAGACGAACATATTATTATCAAGAGAAAACACGCAGGATATAACCAGTACTTAAATTTGTTACCGGATATGCAATACCGCCACCTGGCGTTAGGTGCGTTCTCCTGCTGAAACTGGAATCGTGTATCGGGGAGAAATACTCATTTTTCCGGAAATAGCCAAACGGTAGTAGGGCGCAACTTCGGGATCTCTCGGGTCCATAATACACATGTGTACACACGCATTATGAACCCTAACCCTAATCCTAATCTAACCCTAAACCTAAACAGAAAACAGAAAAAATAAACAAAAATAAAAAAATAAACAGATGGATTACCCTGGTATGTAAAATGAGTATTTCTCCCTGGTTCAATAATCCTGAAACTGTTAGTAATGGAAATGTCACTGATATCACTCATTAATTTTAATTTAATATTTCATGTATCTGTCTAAATTTGTGTGATTGAATTTAAACGAATAAAAATACTAGCCTTTCCCTTTTTATTAAATTACATAAAATTTCAAGCTAAGATTATGAACTTTTATTGCGTTTTCTAACCATTTTAGTCAACAGAACAGTAATAATAAAAAAAAATCATTGATATCAGACCAACTTTCATTATTAACACTTAAGAGTTCTAACAGGAATACACATCTACCACGAGGCGGCGCCACTGTAACTCTGTCTCTGTCTGGAAACACAATAACGTTCGAATTGTCGTGTCTTGATATATTCTTAGTCTATATGGATACACGTAGTCACCACAGGCGTATATTATCACGGCAGCCCGCATGCTATGGACATCGCCATTGTGACGGTGGCAGAAATTATAGTAGCCTCATATAGAGACCGCCCAGCACCAAGGACCAAACTGCATGCAGCGCCCCTTCATACCTGAGCTTCATACAACTCAGGAGCCAGAGCGAGAGCGCCATCTGTCGTGGAGTTTGACCAAAGACGTGTACTAGGCATAACACCGCGCTGCGCCCTCCATACACTGACCGTGCATCGCAGAGTGACCGACCGCTGGCGTTACGTCACTAATCACGTGTGCAGTTAAACGTGCATGGCTTCCCAACGCGCTGACGTCACATCGGGGTAGTCTCTCCCGCCTCCGACGCTGCAATCGTATCTGTCACGTGAGAGGGAACCTTCCCTGTCCCCGACGCAAAAAAAAACCGGCGAGTTAAGGGACGATGGCGATGACGGATTGGCGTTTCGACAAGTGAGCATACGTCGCCGTAACTTGCAAAGCTTCCTGGGAGCCATGCCCTTCTCCACTCGTAGTTCGATATATACGCCGAGTTTAAATTATCGAGTTAGCTGAAGGGCTTAGCGAAAGTTACTGCGCAGTGACATTTGTGGAGCTAATAGCATTCTTTGGATGTCATAGAATTGTTGTGTGTGAATGGAGATTGTGATTACGGGGGATGTACCGGTGACGTTATGATAGCAACACGAGTGTAGCGAGCAGAATTGAATAAATGTAAACGCCGCCAATCTTGCAGCGAGTGGATCACGGAACTCTTTATCCCAGCTACACACTCTCAGACTAGACAAGACAACGGATCGACACACGTCAGATCACACTGCTAACTAGCACCTTACTATACTCACAGCATTTCCTGGACTCACGCGTTGCCTCGTACACAAATAATTACGTGTGAAAGAAGGCGCTTGTCATTAGCTCAAATATTGTGTGGGTTTGCCAAGGAAAACACA